TATAAAAATGCATTATAAATTTTATATTTAAATTTAAAGAATATTTTTTTTATACCTGAGCCTCAAATCTGCAAAACGATGTCCGCCATATTAGATAGCGTCGTGACGTCACTAGGTCAAAGAACTAGGTTATGTGCTGTGTACTAACTAGCTAATTTCGAAAATTTTGAAGTTATCATTACGATTGTTGACTTTTATTCCGAATTTTATTGAAAAGGCATCATGGAAGACGGATTCGTAAAAGCGAGTTTATTACTTCGCTTTTAGCACTAATGTTATAGATATTGTTATTAGGTGAGAAAAACTTTTTGTTATATTTTTTTGTACAAACCCTCAGACGAAATAAAAAGTCATTTTTTATTTGGTCTGAGTACAAACCATTTCTTTATTCCCATATAATAGAAGAAAACAGGAATTAAGTAAAACACTGCACTGCACTTGCAAGGGCTATCAAAATGGATGAGCAATAACAGACGAGCGATTAACCTAATCTATTACAAAATTTGACTTGCAATAGGTACCTATCATGTCATGATATTTTGTTTTGTTTAATCGATAGTTCAATATAAGTCATACCTACATCAAAGTGATCTTCACAAAAGTAAAGTTTAGATTTTGTAGACAAAGCCTTCGGGTCTCTTCTTGCCAGTTTTAACCAAGTATTTCTCATATTTAAATCAATTGGCATTTTAATACATAATTTCCGCGGCGTCCCTATGCTCGTATTTTTGCAATCAGGCACAACACAACAATGATATAGATGATAACTCATTATTAAACATTCAAAAGTATCTTATTCCTTTGCAAAATAGTCAAAATTCTAGGACAGTGACGTCACGAGTTAAACAGTATGGCGGCTAGCGTTTTCACGCGAAAATTTAAAACGATAGATTAAAAGTAATTTTTATGTCACTATTCGGTTTTAAAAAATTTATATAAAAATTATAGTGGTTCATTATCACTCTAGGATTCATTTAAAACACTTTTTGAAAATGGGTGTAATACCCTATTATTAGGTATCCACCGAGCACAAAGCTTCCTAACCGCTAAATGTTCGTGGAGGATTTTGTGCACTTGGCTTATACCGATGCCTAAGCTTGTCCAAATCTGCTGATAAGTCACTCTTTTGTCAGTCTCTATCATACGCCGCACAATACTGATGTTATCTTCAGTCGTCGCCGTAGAAGGCCATCCCTCACGCAGATTATCGGTGAAATTAGTGCGACCACGTTTAAACTCATTAAACCAGTTGTAAACAGTGGCACGAGATGGGTCTTCATCAAGAAAGGTCAATCGAAGTCTATCATCACTTTCTTGTTGACTTAAATGACATCGAAAGCCATAAAAAATCATTGGACCAAAATTTTCTCGCGTCAAATTCATGCTGACGTGACACATACAATTTTCAATTTGCCGCCATATCGTAAACAAATAACAAATTAATAAAATACATACACAATGATATTGGCAAAGAGTTCCATTTTCATAATTTGAACTTATTTTTTATTATATCGTTTACGCCCAGTGTCGCCCTCGTAGAAGGGTATGAATGAAATATGTTGTGATGAGAGAGTGAGGGCGATATAGGGGTAATCAAATAGACGATTTTTTATTCGTTTAAAACTTCCGCGCGCCCACCTTTTTCGTCTTGCGCCACTAGGCACGTGCCTAGTTTGCTTTAAGGATAATTCGCCACTATTGGCAATGAGGCTGTGCTTGCCGCGGAAGCATGGTGACCGTGACATACTAAGCGCCTTCACTATGCGTAATCGGAAATTATGCAGTCTTTGCAATTACTTCTTGACGCGATAAGATGACCCATTTTATACGGATGACATTATGTGTGATAAAGGACTTGCCCCTCTATTCAACGAGCGATGGCAGGACCCGGTAGTACAGAGAAATGTGATCAGCAGCTGTATGGAAAGAGAAGGATCTGCACGGGAGGGGTTATACAAGGCTATATATGAGCGTTGTAGATAAAGTTGCCTTCCTCCACTTGTTACGTTTTGGTGACATCTCTGGGGAAGTCGAGGGTTTCACCGCCGACATGGCACCGTTGACTTCTGTCACTATGAGTCTGTTATGAGTCACTAATGCATGTCATCTCTGGTTGTCCGGCACTTTCTAACTCTAAGTTGTTGTTGAGTCTCAGACATAACCAACAAGGTCTCGTGGAACGAGGATCTGCTATTAGTACTCGCTGGAAGCCGTGCTCGTAAATGACCGCGCCAGGCTCTATTGTGAAGTTATAATCCTGATATTATGTAGGTGGACCAAGCACAGTCAAGGATACTTTTGGTCGATATTAACATGCCAGATGACAAGAACCTCGTGAATGCCGAAACAAACATAAATTGTTATTATTTGTTGCAACATACCAATTAATATTGATACTACTTAGGTAAAAACTTACAATAAAAATCTTGTCTGCGCTTTACGTTTAGATAGTTCACCTTGAATCATTCAAACGATGGATTTTCATTAAAATGAAACATACAGTCTGTTCTCGCCATTCCCGCTAGATGGCGCTGAAGTCATAATTTTTTTAGTTTATTTGGGATTTTGCGTAATTGGAACATTATTAAGTCGTAGAAGTAGCAATCGCCTTACTTCGACATTATACTTTATTTTATTAGGCCCATATCATTGTCTCAAAATCCGAAAATAACATCTGTAATTGAATATAGTGTCTTTTACACACACAGACGTGGGTGAATTCTTAGTCCCTACATTTACGAAAATCGAACACTAGATGGCGTGAATGAAAAAAAATGTTTTCCTTTTTTCTGTATGGGTAGGCAGAACTACAGAACGCCACCTGTTACGATATATAATATTATGTACGATTCATCATCTGCCTAGCCTTTTTCCCAACTATATTGGGGTCGGCTCCCAGTCAAACCTGATTCGACTGAATACTATCAGTATTTCACGATTATGTTATAAAAATAAAAGTTATATGTATTTGTAAAATGAGCCTTGGTAGCTCAGATGGTTAGCACTCGCTGTAAGTTTCACAGTACGCGATAAACCCGGGTTCGATCCCCGCCGGCACCAATGAAATTGTTAATTGCAATTTTAAGTGTTGATTTACCACGTGCTCGGCGGTGAAGGAAAACGTCGTTGAGGCAACCTGCATGTCTGACAAATAAGAAAAGAATATATATATTTCGAAGACATGTGAAGTTCGCCAACACGTATTGGGGCAGCGCGGTGGACCTTTCCTTGCCCTATAACCCTCTCAGAAATGAGAGGAGGCCTGTGCCCATCAGTGGGACGATGTATATAGGCTGTAACTTTTTAACTTATATTTGTAGGCGTAAGTAAACTATTTAATTCAATAATAATCTTGGAAAATAAATTATGTCTACTCTAAGAACAATAAAACGCAGTTTTATTTTATAATAACCTTACACGATTGAAATAAATGATCAAAACAAGTATTTGAAGTAACACGCCTGATACACGCCTATTCACTCAAAACTAATAACACAGATGATTTTCAACATAACCAATTATTACGTAAATTTGACATTACATAATACGTAAAACACGATTTAGTATGTGATAATTACCAGGAAGGTAAAAAAAATTCCTAATTTCAAAGCACACATAACTACAAAAGCTTTTAGTAAAACAAAAATAATTTGACTTGATTATTTTTTTATTACATTAGTTTTAGGGCAAGAAAAGAAAATACCTCTTTATTGTGTAGAGATATTCTAATCGCCTTCTACGATACATATGTACATACTACATACGTACTCTTACGCTCGCAGTTAAACGCATTCTGACAACCAAATTTTTAACAATACCATACACAAGTAGGTATTTGATGATCCACAATCGTATACATGCTTACCAATTTTTAAATAATATACTTAAGTACATTTATTTCTATACTATTTTTATAAAGTTTAATATTTATAATTATTTTATTGATAAACATTTTATTAATAAATAAATAATTATTAATTAACCATAATAAAACAAAATTAATAATAAATACATAACCATTATTTTCATCTGTTATCCAAGGACAAACCAACTAAAAAAATTCAGGACCGTAACAAACGATACGACGCGACCTTGAGCTTGGTACTACAACAAAATAAAACAAACTAATAATACTATGTGTCTGTCTGAAACTGTTTGCAAAATACGTAATAGGTATTTTTACGTAACCCCGCAAAACTATATTTTGCAAATGTTTGTAAAATTATATTTGTAACTACTTTGGTGGCTTACTGATTTATAATTTTATTTATTGTTGAAAAAAATATTCAAACAAAACACTGACTTTGTAGTTTTGTACTCAACACCGACACGTATGACATAGGTAACTAGTATTGTAACGAGATTTGAAATCACGGGCCAACCTGCGTTTCTAACACCACCGAAAACAAAATTGCGTATTTTGAATAATTAATTACTATACTATACTATACCAACAATAAATTACAATATATTGTATTATATTGGAATCAAATACATACTAGAAATATTGCAAATTGAATCAACGAAAATCATACAAAAATATATCACTATCCTTCTAATGCACAATTTGCAATGCAGTTATGAATATGTGCTGAATTTCATCATATGTAATTCAGTTATTTTCTTTTATTAAAATTTTAATTTACATTAGGTGTATCCTTTTCTCCCTCTGTGCCCACCAAAATGTGTCAACCGCGCTTAAATTCATTCTACCAATGGAAAAATGTTGCCCTTGAACAAATATATTCTCCAAAAATTTTTAGTAAGATAATATTTTTTGTGAACCCTAAGAAAGGTTTTTTCTTAAAGTTTGGAATGTTTACATTTTTAAGTACTTGTGTTTTTAGGATTTGTGGTTTATTAAATGAATTAGAATGTGGCCTGGTATAAATTTTAATGTTAATAATCAATTGTAATTGATAATTTTATATTGTTCTTCTAAAAATGTTATTATTCTCTAATGATAGTATGTTTTAAAATATCTTTTGCTTGATTTACAGGAATACATCAGATTGTCACACGGATGAGATGTATGGTACAATGGATTCCTTTACCGAGAAGCCTCTTGAAGACAACGCACTTTCAACAAATGATGATCTTAAAACACTTGCTTAAAACCAAAAAGTATTAATATCGTTGCTATATATTTAATGATATAAAGCTAATGAAATGTCACTAAACATGATATCTAATATAACAACTCTTTATAAAACAATGTTTTAGAACTTACCAAAGAGTATTTAAATCACTACGTTTAGATTTAACGTACTAAAATAATTATTACAACATGACACGTGAACAATGTACACATTTTTCAAAACATTTGAATAAATTTTGTGTGCGTACATACGAACGCAAATAAGTATATCTCTTTGCGTGTAGTGGCGGTGTAACAATATTATCTTCTACCACATATCATGCCGTGGGTGTCGTAAGAGTCGACAGAGGGAAACAAATCAGATGTGCAGCAGCGTCTTCCTAATAACGACTAAAAACAAAAAAACTGGTTTGCAACCCGCTTGCCAAGCGTGCCAACTATGGCAAATATCCCCCCTATGACGCAATTAATGGGAAGGGCTATGTTCAGTAGTGGCCTTTAATAGGCAATGACGGAAGACTTCAAATATTTGCATTCACATGCTGACAGAATAGGATTATTTTGTGGACGCCATATTTTTATTTTATTTATCTGTCTTGAATCATATCCATTCTTTCCCATTGCAGCCCATCTAAAGTCTGTTCAGTGATATAAATAAGCCTTCCCCATTGATTCCCTCCTATGGACTTTGTTGGCTATTTGTTATAGTTTACTTAGCAGACGGGTTAGAAACTGCAGTTTTTTTGATATTTTGTATTATTATCGTCTGGTCAGTACTCATAAATATATTTAAAAAAGATGATAAATAAGATAAAATATATATTGAATATGTAATTAAACATATAACATAAAGAAACATAAATAAAAATCTAAAATATAAAATAAATTAAAAACAATCCTCCTCAGGGTTAGGGGGAAAAGAAACCGGCGGTCGATGCGGAAGTTAATAAGGAGCACCGCCTTCTGCATTTGATCTTTGAGTCCGGAACTTCCGTCCGTTATTATTATTGATATTGAGTTCTTATTAGGAAGATGCTGCTGCCCCTGTTTCTGTTTCTCTCTGTCGCCTCTTATGACTCTCACGAGATGATATAAATAAGTAAATTCTTTATTATTACATTTGCATAACATAAATCGAAGTCTGGCGCGGATCTAACTATCAGATACGTGACATTTTAGACACATAATATTCTTAAAAAATTATTTAGTGATGAATTCTTTTTATCAATTATTGGGATAAAGATGAGTTCACAATGGTTGATTCGATAAACCTATTTACTTTTACTACAAATAAAATTACACGAAAAAAATTGGCTAAGCGCCTTTAAAGATAAGCCTTTAATATTTTTAAGCTTCTTTTATCGTTAAAAGCTACTTCATTTGTTAAAATTTTAATCGAGTCTGCTTCTGCATATTACTTTTGTAAAATTGTTGGCATCCTATGTTTACATTCTATACAAGTCGATTGCGAAATATATACGCGATTAATACTAATACTACTACTACATAATTAAACTATTTAAGATAGTAAAAAATGATAATTAATAGAATTAGGCGTTGCTTTGCAGAAATACATTATATTAAAGATGTTAAAAAAATTCTAATTAACGAACCGCGTAAAAATAAAAGTGATGTCTTACCTAGTTTGAAGACCACCCCACCTCCGTCTCTCAATTGCATGCACTATCCCCGTCACTACTAATCCCAACACCATTATACTAAGAAAGACAACACGAGGCAAAACGAGGCATCATCAGGAGAAATAGACTCAACGATGGCTAAATGGGCTTAGCGTTGTGTTGGGATTAGTGGTAACGGGGACAGTGCATGAAATTGAGGGAGAGCGTGCTCTTCAAACTAGGTAAGCCACATCATTGTTATTTTTACACGGATCTTAACTAATTAATTTAAACATTTTTAATTGTAAAAATTGTGCATTGTACTAAAGATTGTAAGCGTATTAAGGTATATACTACTGATAATATATATAAAATAAACTTTAAACCAAATTACTTATATTGCAATATTTTAACAAGTAAATTTTTAACGTACACGCCATAAACATTATTTTTAAATATTATAATGTATTATGAACGTAGGTGTTACAGCGGTTTTAAAAAAATTGTTTTAATAGTATAATAATTTTATACGGTACGATATGAATTAATAGAGATCTCAAACATGGGTATTCACTTTTATATTATTGTTATTTTTGTTTATTTATATATTATTATAACTTTTGAATAAAATAAAATAATCCGCCTAATTATTTTTATTACTGCTTCAGAAATTACTAATTGTTTTATTTCCTATTTAATAATCATATTTTTCATCAGTCTGTAAAAAGTCATTGCTGGACATGGGCCTCCAATATACATATATTCGTACCATAGAACACTTACTCCTGTGTACAGTGTGCCGCATATCCACATATAACTGTGCTCTTTTGACTGCTTGTCGTGAGCGTCATGCCGAGTTAAGATTATCAGAAAAGTTTACTCTGCATAAAGCACAAGAAGCGCGGACGACGACTGATAGTCAGCGTCACAATCCCGCATAGAAGTAACGTCTAAGCAATGAGAAGAGCTGTTTAAGTTGGCCACACCGTCTTATGAGCAACTGCGTCAATATCATTAAGTTTTTGCCTTCTGAAAGAAAGCGCAACGAAATTCGGCAGAACGAAACCGGAGAATAGCGCGAATCTAGCATAAATGCTGGTTGTCTTCATTTATCTTAAAATTTTATCTGAACACTTGATTCTCAAGATGATGGTAACCTATCTGATCATTGTGATACCTAGGGTACATAAAAATAGAAGTGAATTTCCAAAGTATATTGTAAGTGGATTACAAAAATATCAAATATTCTGAAATAATCAATGACCCAGACCTGTAAAAAAGACGAATGAAATGTGTTGTTCAAGTGATAATGTATTATGCGGTTGAATGTTTTTGAGGAACCTGAACCTTTATGTCAGGCTTAAGGTGATCAGGGAAGATCAATCCTACAAGCCGTTGACGTTACAATTTTGAAATGATAAATAAATTTCAAAAGCGTGTAGTAGCGGTATAATAATAATGTGTCTATAATCACTGTGTATGTGTGTAGCCTACACAATGCAATGTAGGTGTTAAACAATGAGGGCATCAAAGACTTTCTGCCACAAGGGAGGCGCCACGTTACAATGAAGTAAAATATTTGACAGATTTCATAGCGGAGACGATAATTTCTTAGGAAAATGTAAAGTTTAATGTTCCTTTCCGTATTATTAATTATATTTTATATTAATTAGATTACAAATTAATAAACCAAACTATAAATATAACATCTAGATAATGATAAACTATTATTTAAACCTCATTATTGGAGCCACATGCAAGTGTGAGTAACGATCCAAGAGCAAATATTATCCGACACTATTCTGATGATATGCCGGACGTCAGTCTGAGCGAGATTAGAATGGCTCTCCAGCACCTTTTAAGTACGTGGTTGAGCTATACTGCAGCTATATTAGTAGTAGACCGGGGAAGGACCACGCTCTCACAGAATACTAACGAAAATAGCAGCTTAACGCTGCTGTGTTTCGTATGGTGAGTGTAGAGAACCGGATACCCTTTTTATTGGAAACGAGGCATTCCATCTTAGTCCTCACGGGTGACAACGCTTCTGCATTTTGGTTCGTGGTTCGTAGTCGAGGATAGATGTAGAAGTCTGTCGGCCGCAGCAACCACTTATCATCAGGTGGACTGTGTGTTCGTTTAACGCCTTTATCCTATAAAAACACCTTAAAAACGGCCAGTCCCCGGGCGAGGATGGAATTACAGCGGAGCTTTTGAAAGCGGGTGGGAAACCGGTACTTGAAGTCGTTCAGAAGCTCTTTAATTCCGTCCTCCATGGTGGCACTACTCCAGAGGCGTGCAGCAGAAGTGCGGTGGTCTTGTTCTTTAAGAAAGGCGACAACGCTCTCTTGAAGAACTACTGACTGATTTCCCTTCTGCGCCGCGTCTCAGTGCTGTTTTCGAGAGTCATTACGAATCGTCTCGCACGCAGACTCGACGTCTTCCAGCCTCCCGAACAAACAGGTTTCCGAAAAGTCTTTAGCACCATAGCCACATACATATCCTTCGGTAAATTGTACAGAAGAGTAGTACAATCTGGCACATTGTCTTGCGTATGTGGACTATGAGAAAGCCTTTGATTCCATCAAAATTTGGGCGGTTCTACAGTCCCTTCAGCGGTGCCAAGTTGACTGCCAGTATATCGAAGTGTTGAAGTATTTGTACAGTAGTAACCTAACTAACTGCAGAGAGGTATAAGACAGAGTGATGTTATATCCCCGAAACTTCACCGCTGCATTGAAAGACGTTTTCAAGCTAATGGACTGGAAAGGATACGGTATTAAAGATTAACGTCAATGACGAGTACATCACTCACCTTCGATTTGCCAACGATATAGTCCTTATGGCAGAATCGCTGGAGGACCTAAGCTCTATGCTCAATGATCTCAATAGTGTCTCCCAACGGATAGATATTAAGATGAACATGGACAAAACAAAAATCATGCTTAACGTCCATGTCACAACTATGCCGGTAGTTGTTGAGAGCACTAAACTCGAAGTTGTTGAAAAGTATGTTTATCTGGGACAAATAGTCCGACTAGGTAAGTCCAACTTCGACCGAGAGGTCAATCGACTGATTCAACTCAGCTGGGCAGCGTTCGGGAAATTACGACACATGTTTTCGTCAGGCATACGTCAAATCAAGACTGTTCAACCAGTGCGTGATGCCAGTGATGACCTGTGGATCAAGGTCGCTCAGCGGGTTATGGAAAGGGCTATGCTCGGGGTTTCTCTGCGTGATAGACTTAAAAACGAGGATATCCGCAGTAGAACCAAAGTAACCGACATAGCCCAACCGAATAGTGAACTGAAGTGGTAATGGGCCGGCCATATAGCTCGAAGAACCGACAACCGATGGGGAAGAAAGGTTCTCGAGTGGCAGACTTGTACCGCGACAG